TATATATATATATATATATATAGTCAGAAAGAGCTATCAAGTGGAGACAGGGAGGAAATAAAGATAGCATACAGCTGAAAAACAGTTCTTCCCTATTTTTTTTTTAAATCTACTTTCGTATTTTTCCATAGACTTTGAGGGATCCTTTTAGGGATATTCTCTCTATTTGCAAGTGTGTGTACACATTTACATTATTATTATTATTATTTATTCTTTCTCCCCCCACAGAAGAGTAGCATAGTAGGCAATGGTTCTGCATCTGCCTTGCATTTTTTTTACTTAACAGTATATGTTGGATGGCATTCTGTATCTCAGGTCTGTCATACAACAAAGGCAGTTCCCTTAAGGCAACTACAACCTTCCACCAATTGTTGTTGAGTGCCATCAAGTCGATTATAACTCATAGCAAGCCTTTGAACAACAGATTGAACTTTGAGCCATCTTCATAATCACTACCATGTTCAGACCCATTGTTGCAGTCAGCAGTCACTTTGTCTGTCTATCTCATTGAGGGTCTTCTCTGTCAATGGCCCTCTACTTTCCCAAGGATGTCTTTTCCAAGGATCCATCCCTCCTAACAACATATTTGAGATGAAATTTCACCCTTCTGACCTCTAAGGAGCCCCTCGGCTGCACTTCCTCCAAGGCAGATGTTTTTAGTTGGTTTTCTTCCTCACAGGCTTTGGATATTCCATACGCTTTACCAGCACCACCATCCAAAGGCATCAGTTCACCGATTGGTACTCGTAAAATTGGCAGATCTTTTCCCTCTTTGTTTACAGATTACTGAATTTTAGAATTTTCTAGGTTAGAAGTATTTTAAAGGTTATTTAATCAAGTACCCAAATGCTATTTTTTAAAAACTGGACTGTTTTTCAGAGTTGTGTGTTTCTAGAAAAAAATTGTACAGAAAGGACAAAGAACTCCCATTCCATCCCCTCTCCCTCAGTATGTAGTCTCCCTGTTAGTAACATCTTGCACTAATGTGACATCGTTGTTATAGTTGGTGAACTAATAGAAATGCAGTAAGTAAATTCATGGTGCCACAGTGGTTAAGGAGTTCAGCTGCTAGCTGAACAGTCACCAGTTTGAATCCATCAGCTGCTCCACCAGAAAGAGTTCAGGCAATCTGTTTCCTTAAAGATTTAGAGATTTGGAAACCTCATAAGGCCATTCTACTCTGTCCTATTGGGTTTCTGTGAGTCAGAATCAATTCAGCAGTGGTAGGTTGATTTTAAAGTCCATGGTTTACATCAAGGTTCACTCTTTGCATTGCATTCCCTGAGTTTTGACAAATACATAATGTGATCTGACTACCATTACAATATCACACAGGATAATTTCACTGTCATAAACGTGTTGTATTCCATCCATTCATCCTTTCTCCGCCCCTCCTCAATCCTTGATGATTATTGATCTTCTTTAACTGTATCTATAGTTTTTCCTTTTTCAGAATGTCATAGAGTTGGAAACCGGCAGTTTGTAGCCTGTTTGAGCTGCCTTCTCTCACTTAGAAGGCACTTAGCAATATACATTTAAAGTTCCTCCATGTTTCCTGTGGCTTGATGACTCATTTCTTCTTATCACTGAATAATAGTCCTTTATATAAATAGCTTAGAGTTTGCTTACCCATTCACCTAAGGCATCTTGATTGTTTGCAATTTTTGTTTACAATTATGAATAAAGCTGTTATAAACATTTGTATACAGGTTTTGGAGTGTCCATAGGTTTTCAACTTATTTGGATTGTTATCTAGGAGCATGATTGCTAGATCAAATTATAGGCTGATGGTTTAGCTTTGTAAGAAACTCCCAAATATCTTCCAAAAGGGCTGCGAAATTTTGTGTTCCCAAGAACAATGAATGAGCTTCCTTATTGCTTCCCACACTTACTTGAATTGGATGTTGTCATTCTTTTAGATTTTAGTTACTCTAATAGCTGTGGGATAATTTTTCATTTTTCTTTTCATTTGCATCTCCTTAGTACAAAACAGCAACAGTGACATTTAAAGGAGCCCTGGTGGCATAGCGAGTTACCGGTTTGTCTTCTAACTGCTCAGAGGAAGAAAGATGAGGCATTCTTCTCCCTTTCAAATGTGCAGCCTCAGAAAGCCAATGCAGAGTCTCTATGAGTCAGAACTGACTCCAGGCAGTGGTTTTGGATTTGGTTTTAGTGACATATGAATTTAATTGTCTTTTCCTATGAGGCTTCACTGCAATCTCAAAGGCACACAGTTCAAAACCACGCTCCACGAGAGAAGGATAGGCAGCCTCCTCCCGTGCAATTAACTGCCTCTGAAAACCCCCTGGAGAATCAGCTATGGGTCAGTTCCAACTCAGTGGTACACAACAACAACATCCATTCAGATATTTTGTCCACTTTTAAATAAGCTTGTTTTCTTCTCATAGAATTTTAAGAGCTTTTGGTACATTTTAGATACATATTCTTTATCTGAAATGTATTGGGCAAATATTTTCTCTCCATTTGTGGCCCGAGTTTTCCGTTGTCTTTACAGTGTTTTTTGCAAAGTTTGTTTGGCTTCTTGGAGGTTTTTTGTTTTAAATAAATTATTTTCTTTTTTTAATATTTATTTTCTATTTTAGTGAAGCTTTAAAAAGAGATTGGTTTTATTCAAACACACTTTCCTCCTTCCTACTCGCCAATTCCCCTATTGAAAGATTATTAACTGCCACACACATGGTTTCTAATCATCCATTCCTTTCCAAATCCTTCTTTTCACTCATTCCAGTGCAGTGTTCACTATCTAGCCATTATTTCCCCACTCTTCCCCCACTTGCTGCTCAATCCTATTAATATAATAGAGGGTGTATACCATATTTGTCCCTTTATAACAGAGATATTTCACACAGCAGAATGTCTTCTAGACTCATCCATGTTTTGTAAGGTTTTACGAATTATTTTCCAATGCTGTATAGTATTCCATTCTGTAAACGTACCATAGTTTCTCTATCCTTTTAAATGCTGATGGACACCTGGGCTGTGTCCATCATTTTGCTATTGTATAGTGCTGTGATAAATATGGGTGTCCTTATGTTTGTTTGTGTTACATCTCTGATTTCTTTGGGGTATATTCCCAATAGTAAGATAGCTGGGTCAAATGATATTTCTATTTCCAGTTTTTTAAGTAAGAGCCTGACTGTCCTCCATTCTGGTTGTACTATTTTACATTCCCACCAGCATTGTAAGAGAGTTCTGATTTTTCCATATCCTTTCTACCTTTGTTGCTTGCAGCCCAGTTGAACTGTGTTCTTGTTGCTGGAATGAGATGATATATCATTGTTGTTTTGATTTGTATCTTTCTAATGGCAGCAATTTTGAGCATTTTGTGTGTGTGTATGTGTGTCTGCTGGATATCTGATGTTCTGCTTTGGTAAAGCTTATCTTCATCTCCTCATGAGGATTTTATGTTAAGATCATCCTATTCATCTATTTTATCCTTTCTTGGTTTTGGGTTTTCAGTTATGCTTGAAAGTCTGTCTACTCATGCCATACGTTAGGTCTTCTAAGTTTGTTCCTATTTTTTTTTCCCCCTCTAATGAAATTTATAGTTTTTGGGTTTACATCTAGGTCCCTGATCCACCTTGAGCTGGGTCTTTTTGGTTGTTATTTTGTGTGTGGAAACAGAAGATTGGTTTTTCTTAGTTTAATATGCAAAATATACAATAGATTACAGATAAGTACTTTCCAAACATGGCCATCCTTCCTGGTGGAAAGAAAATTTCAAACATGAGGAACACAACCAGGGAGGGAGTGTTTCTTTTACTTTTGAAAGAGAGGAGCGAACTAGGGGGGGTGGGCGGGGAGAGAAGTGCAGCGATGAATGAATGGAAATCCAAAATCTCTGCAAATGTTCATTAAAATTATTTAAAAAAAAAAGAAATGAGAGAGTTCTTGACTTCAAGCTAAGTGTAACCTAAACCTAGGTGAAATATTCCATCTGCAAATGGTACTGACATGCAAGTTATTGTTTAGGGATGGAGTGTTGTCCCTCTTTTTTATTCAAAGTCCAGCAAAGCTACCAGGATCATCTTGCCCCAGGAACCATATCTAACAGTTTTCAAACATAGAAATGGTGTTCACCATTCCTTTTCTCTATTATCATTTAAGTTGGTTTTTGTGTATGATGTGAAGTGTGGATCTTGCTTAAATTATATATGTGAGTTATATATGTATGTTGTTATATATGTGAGTATGTTGTTATATATGT